CATTTTTTATCATATTTTTTAAAACATCGTAAAAAATTTTTATTAAAATTTAATGAAAATTTGAAACTTATGCCATCTAATGAGAATTTTCTTACTTACTTACGTATTACCATTAAAAAACGTACGTATAAATACGTAAAATACCTATATCGATTTGTCACTGAGGACCGAGTTACTAAGACTTAAGTGTAATACGGAAATTTCGGGGTGTAGATACCGTATTTAATTATTTTATAGTATCGTATTAAATACATAAACTATATTTATATCAATATATTATCATGATATTTATTTAGTAACCAGGTCATTCTTTAATCGAATTGTGTATTGCGAAATGGCAATGGTTAGAACTATTACTTATAAGGATGTTAGTTACATTAGTTATTAGCTATTACCTATCCACTTATACTGACATACCTACTGTAAATTGTAATAGATAGGTATATTATGTCAAATAATATACTAAAATAATATATACTTATATAATACGTTCTCTTTATTTATAATTTACTAATTATCTATAATTATCATCTAACTGCTGGGCATATTGTTAAAATTGAAAAAATAATATTTGTACTGTAAGTTTAAGGTACTCGAAACTTTCAGCCAATATGTATATTGTATAGGTATTATATTTACTGTAGTGAAACCTAAAAGCGCAAACGTCTATTTTTTTCGATAGACCAAAACTCAAAAATAAATATTGTATCCGTTATTCCGTTACACTATAAGTTTCCTTTTAAAATTATTAATTATTCATTTTAATTTAAATGTATATTTATTTTTTATAATAATTCAAAAATACATCAACATTCAACAGTGATAGAGTTCAGTTGAAGTTAGTATTATTACTATTATCGTATCGTATTTTATCGTAACGAAGTACGATGAAGTTTGATAAACATTAAAGATATACCTACGTTATATACAGTATAAACATATTTCTAACTTATAAAATATACTTTATTTTTGTAAAATTTATTTTCGCTTATGGTTTGTTAAAAATAGGTGTTATTGTTTTTTTGAGCTTTTGGGTTGCGTTTGGGTCATATATTTTGCGCTTATGGGCTCTAGCTTATTTACTTTAAATACTAGCGCCAATAGGATATTTTTCACATAGGGCTGTGTTAATAATGTTTTTCCAAAAATTACATTTGAGTACTATTGATATTTTGATGATTTCCTAGTTTAACGATATCCAATTTACCGACAATTAGTATTCACATCAATTTATCTAAATTATAGATACAATATATTAAATAAAAAATTATACTTAAGTGCAATTATATAACATTTATTGAAAACACCCAAGTGTAAATTAAATATTAACAAAACATGTAATTTTAAATCACTAAATGGCCATTAGAACATTTTAAAAATGTTTCTTGAATAAATTATAAACATATTATTCAAACAGTTAAAACAATAATAATTTATTTCCACTTTGGCTGCTCATTAGTTTTTTAATATACAGAGGACAAAGAAATATATCTATATCTATATATAGATATTATGCGATATTACTTGCAAACATTAGTTCAGCTTATATTACTAATAGTAATGTAATATCATTTTTTTTTTAAATATAGATGAAATATGAAATAAGTGCACCTGACACCTGTATAGAATGAAATTTCACTTGGTACAAGATTGAAATTTAATGGATACTGGAGAGATGAATAATGTTTATTTTGATCTAGTTATTTTAGTATACTTATATATACCTGAAAAGTATCTTTATTCTAATATAATAAACATCACATCAAATTAAAATTTTTTTTTAATTCTAAAATATTTTATAATCTATATCCTATTATGCCTTATTATTAATAGTATTAAATTACATACAATTAACGAAATTATGAATTCGTGTTTTTTATAAGATATATAGAATCTATACGGTTAGGTATATAGGCATAATAGGTATACGTGGAAAAGGACAGAATACATGCATGTATTGGTTTGTGTGAATAAAAAGTCAACACTAGTAACTCTTTGTTTGAGGGGTGAATGAGGAGAGAGATAAGAGTAGGAAATACTAAAGAGGAGAGAGAAGTGACAAGGAAAAGAGAAAAATTTGAGTAAATATTAATGCAATCTTTACACCACCTTATTTTCAGTCAACGACGAGGATTATCGGGAAGTATTAAGGTATTCATGTCACTAATTAGTGGGTTACTGTGGTTTACTATAGACGCGAGAAACAGAGAAGAATTGCTTGAAAAATATTACAGATTCTTTTTTAACTGTTTTAACATGTAAATCATTTTGAAGTGATTAATTTAAAATGTATTTTAAAGCATTTATAAGTTGACATTGAGTGATATTTTGGTAAATTTAGATTTTATTTAGAGTCGATTTCTTTGCCGCGCCCTACAGTTAAAGACAGTAAGTCTAAATTGGTTTTAAAAACGTCTTGTAAATTATCAATTTGTTTTTAAACTTGAGCATTTATTTTTAACGATATAATTTTGAGTAAACGAGAACGAAAGTTTAAAATTGATCTTTTGGATCTTATGTACAGTTTTCAAGTTAATTTTTGTCTAGAGTGAGGCTTTAATATTTAGCTTTATCGGATGAAAGTATATGTATATGTATGTTATATTGTTATCCACAGAAACTAACGAGCATAGTGAAGAGAGTCCATGTTTAACGTAAAGGTGGTATAAATTATTGACTTGCTAGGATTCAATTCAATTCTCTATTTGATGTACCATGATGAAATGAGACTTAGATAGATTTGTAAATTACCAGAGGCTATAAGGAGATTTTTATGAATTTAAATTACAGCTTTGTACGAATTTAAGATTTCATTAGCGATTTCATAACCAGGAATTTTTTTCCTAATACTTACCATTTTGTACGTTCCAGCAAAATTGGTTTATTATAACAGAGATATATTTTATACTTTTATTGGTCCTTTAAAATGGCTTTTATGAAGTATGATTGTGACGATACTGAATACTGTAATAAATAATAATGTAAATAGTGATTTGCAAAATGAAATTTAAATAGGTGGTTCAAATAATTTGATTGTTCCATCTACCCCTCTAAATATTATTTTTTTTAGTCATAGCTATAAATAATTTAATGACTTTTTTGTGTTTCATAAAATTATTGCAGAAATGCACCTACAGTAATCTTTTATAATTACTTTACCCACTCCCCAAATTTTTAAAGCAGTTCAATAATTGAACTATCCGAAGTACGAACTCGGCGTAATAATCTTAAATAATAATGCATTTGTTAAAATAATGGGCCGATAAAAGTTATTCGTGTAATTGTTTGAGTCGCAAAATTTGATAAAGGAAATAACAAGTTTTTAATTTATTAGGAATAGGATTAGGATGTATTGAAGGCGTGTATAAATTCGTTTATATTATTATTATGTTTACTATTATAGCAAATACTATTTTATTGTAAATTATAGATACTGTAAATCCTAGCTGTAGTAATTCCAGTATGGGAATTATCTATAGATAAAAACACGGCACCCGTCTCAATAGTTAAATTAATTATTTTCTATCTTATCAAAACTATATAATTAAAATACAATTTATTTATTTAATTGATCACAAATTAAGATAGTACATTCTCATCTTAATATTTGTATAAGATAAACGAGTTTAAATAATGTACATATTGTTCATACCTTTAAACCATTACCCTACATTACATTATAGAAAGGTATTGAAAAAATATTTTTATACGTAATTATCAGAAAAACTATTTTAAATGGAGATTATCGAGCAGTTGATTTTTTTTTATTAAATATTTTTTATTAGTTGTTTTTAACTCATAATAAATAAATGTAAGTGGTTTTTACGGTAGGTAAAAAGTTTAATAAATAAAAAATAACCAAGTAGATAAGTCATTTTGCTATAATATTTCTGTATAATATTGTGTACATAATAAAACTGGTAAAGGTGACGAGTGTATACCTCGTAAATGAATTGGTTATTGACCATTGTAAAATGACTAAAATGAAATAAATGAATAATGGGTATACTATTCTCGAATTCAATGAAAATTTAAAATTCATTGCGAAAATTTTTAAGTCTTTAAGATTGATATTTATTGAATCAAAGTGTATATTAAATAATTCATGTCGTCGCAGGACACTGATGAGTGAAGAAATATCTGTCGCTTTATTTTTATTTTATCTACTAAGCACTTTTTAATAATTGTGTTCATTGTAATTTTCAAAAACTATATCATTGAAGGGTAGATAATTAAAAGAATATTTAAATGAGTTTTGACAACAATAGTCTACCGTTGTACTTCGTCTCATAACATCACTAGGAATCGAAATTTGAATCAATTATTCATAAAAATTGTATTTTTCTCCGCAATTTATTGTGCGTGTTCACGGAGTAAGTATTATGAAATATTATTATTGAGAACATATTATACGCAGTACCCCACAGTGTTGGGGCTCGATTCAATGCTGTACCATACATTTAAAATGTGTGCTCGTTTTTATCTCGTTTAATATTACCGATCACTGATCAGCCAAGAAGACCGGGCAATAACTCGCTATTTTACTTGGTGGGTAGTGGTAGATATCTATTGCAACGAGTGCAAGACGTAACACAACACTAAAAAGTAAAAACGCATCTCCCGTAGTCCCGTCAACGATCGGTCTCGCCACACGCGGCGGCAGAACAGTGATTATTGTTTGTTATTATTCTTATTAAACTATTGTTGTCGGTGCCGCGTCGACTGCTGCGTGTGCATGTGTAGCATCGTATTACATTATTATTACTATTATACATATATCGTACAATGCACAGGCATGGTACCTATATACATGGCCGCCGCGCAGGTAGAACCATAACTCGTATCCCGATCGGTTTGGTCAAAATATTATTATCTCGGCGCGCACACCTGTCGTCGTTGCCCCGAGATGGCGGTACCTGGCGCGCCTTGGTAAACCGCGCACGACAAACCGATACCACGCGACTCGCCGACCGCCCATAAACATTCGTGAACATCTCTCGACCAGTCGCGGGACCGGTTGATCGTCGCACCACCGCAGTCCCTCCGTCCGTACGCTGACTGTTGACTCTGTGTCGAGCCGAGTGCCGACTACGTTCAGTACGTTCATTGTGCCGGTAGACGCTGCACGAGGCGCACGTCCGCCGTTACGTCTCCACCGTTCGCACTGCCGTTTGTCTGCGCGATAATGTCGCCGATAATAATCACGACCGTCGCCGTCCTGTTCGCACTCTCGTCCGTCATCCCGTCAACACGGGTGAGTACCGCAACGCGCGCACTGACCGTTAACGATTTTTTTACGCACCGGCTTATGGTTTTACCTACGTCGCCCTTTTTAAATCTATCGAACGTTTCTTGTTCGGGGAAAATCGGTATTCGTATCAGGCGTATCTGTGTTTGTACTACACGATTTTCATGACGTTAGGCGTGCGCGCATATCGTCTTTCGACGAGTTTCTGATCGCGCCTCCCCGTGCCTCCCCGTGCTCGATTAGTTGCGCGGGTACACCTAAAATACACCTACCTGCTGCTAAACACCGATTCTCGATCTCGGATTTATGGTCTATTTATTATCCGACCCGCGGCCGCTTGTTCGACGCTCAATGATATAATTAGAAATTCGTTTTATTATTATACAGAAGTAAAATCATGTAGATATTGTAATAAATTCCTAGGTAAAAATACGAACGCAGAAAATATACGGTAATACGGTACTTAACCACGTAGATTGGTGATACCGTAGTTCTGATGTGGCGTACGTCGTACGGCATACACTTTAATATTATAGAGAGTTTGTGGTCGTATAGCTCCTATGCAGTATGCCTTAATGTTTTTAATTTTCGAAAAAAGCGTCATAAGGGTTGGTTGATGGAATCGCTCTCAAAATATTAATATCCATAAAATCGTTTCGTGACTATTGATTTTAAATCCTATCGCGCTGATCTAGAGGAACGGCGTGATATTGTTTTTTCGCTTAAAATGCACTTATACTCGTATTTAATATAAAGATTATTTTTGAAGGTACTTATTAGTCCTAATAAAACTACTCGCGTGTTATAGTTTTCAATTAGTACATACTTGCTATTATACGTATATAATAATTTAAACGTTTATGGATAAATTTAAAATGGTAATATTCAACATCATTCAACATCAACTGTTCGACTACATAGTAGAGTTAAATTTTTTTTAACCATTTTTTATTATTGAGTTCGCTTAAAACGATTAATATAATTGCGAATTATATTAATCTCTCCATACAAATTTAAAATAAATAAATTCATAATTTACTTGTATTTTTTATTTTATGAGATTTTTTGATTTATTGTTCAACATGTGTGAAACAGTTTTATTTTAGTTTCATACCGAAATACTTATGTAAGTCAATACTTACATATCTATCCCTATCCTATCATCAAATTTAATATTTTTGTATGTATATGTATAATACATTATACATATAAATCTGTGTATAATGTTTTTTTAATTTTATTATTGAAATATTGAGTTTAAATTTAACATAAATAGATAAATAATAAGAATGTAATACATATGTCATGCACTACTCATTTATAAATGGTCAGTTGTATTTTTATTTAAAATTTTAAATAACCACAATAATTATATAATTGTTAAAAATTCGTACTTATTTAATGTCAACATTGTTAATTAATATAATATTTGTTGACAATTAGGTGTTTAGAAAATACCCACAATAATAATAATAATAATAATAATAATAATATGAGATTATTTGGAATAATAAGCCTAAAGAATGTTGAAATCTTAAAAAATGCTAGATATATACCGATCATAAATTTAATCCTATATATGTATCTCTCCATAATTCATATCATATTAGTAAAGTAATTTGTATGTAAAGTACCTACTATTCGTACATATTGTGTTATGTTATTGTACAGTACATTTTATACCTATCTACTTATCTAGTATTTTAAATACTCAAATAAATAAAACACATAAGTAATAGCTAGGTTTTATAGAAAAATTATAATTAAATATTTTGAACAAAAGCATTAATTCTTGATTAATTTGAAGTTTTGATACCTTGATCAAAACATGGAATATTCCGAGAATACCGAATTGTCAACAATACAGTATAGAACTACTCTGTATACATTCTATATAGATTATTTTTTATAAACAAATAATGTTTAAGAAATCGGCGTTGTTACTTGTTAACTCTGCAAAATAATTTAATATGTAAAATGTATGTGTTTTTCTTACGTTTTTGATTCATAATTAAATGTTTATTTTATTTACTTTTTTATCTACGAAAATGTCAATAATATACCTATGTAATAATTTTATATAGATATACTGAATAATCTATTTAACATAAGATACTCTTATATTTTTACATTATTTTAAGTACTTATTTTTTATTTACTTAAATAACAATGTGCATTTTTAGTTGCTTATTCAAAATTAGTATAGTTATTGGAGTACCTATATTGTTTAAAAATCGAATGTCGTAAGAGTAATAGTTTATAAATATTTAAAGTTTTGATAAGAGAAGTTAAAATTATCCAAAATTTGATTTTTATAGATTTAAATACTCCAATTAATATTCTGTTTCAGATATGAGAATGAAAATGTATGTTGTTATTAATAAGAGTAAAATGTTGAAAAAGTGATAACGACAAAAAATAGAAAAATAATTTTTTAAAACACTAGTGTTTTCTAAAATAATTTGTGTCTTTGATTAAAAGGATTATCACGTATAATTTAAAAAAAAAACTATAATTATTCATAATAATATATATCTGTGAATCTAAGAACATTTAAAATACCTACGCATAATTTTAATAATTTTGTAATCATTATTTATAATTTGTATTTTGTCATATCTTAATTAAAATAAATTAAATTGATTGCATATTTTAATTGCATGCACTTGTTTTTTTAAATGCTGCAAGAAGACTACATTAGATATTGTGGTAATTTTTTATATGACATCAACTTTAACGGTATTATAGAATTTTAAAATTATAAAGTTTATATTAAACAAAATTCGTATTGGGCATTAGGTGTATTATTTCTACCACTTTAAAAATATGGATGTTATAAGTATCCATTTTAACTGTAATTTTATAATTAGCTATAGTTTTAAAATGGAGGTTTATGTAATGTTTTTGAATACTATTTTTTCACAAAATTTAATACTAAATAGATAGAGTATATCGCGGTGGAAAATATTTGAGCTTGTTTCTTTTACTAAATTATGTAATTATGTGCCTGCCTATTTAGTTTATGGGCCTACAGAGAAAAATTCGTCATATTATTATGTATTTTAATAGTTTATTTGGTAATTAAGTATGTATTTTTTGTAATTAAAACTCAACATTTTTAGTATACTGAATAACATAATTAAATGTATATCATATAGTATCTATTACCTAGATATTTGTTTTCAAAATTAAGTGTATGAAACAAAGTTAAAAAAATTAGGATTATGTAAAATTGTTTAATAATAATAATTTAACAAAATAAATTTTATATATTATATTATCATATTATGTTTACAATGCAATAATCAATTACTCATACTACACGATTCTTAAGTTGCAATTTGGATACTAAAATAGTAATTAAATTTTGCAGTAATAAATATTTTTTTTAAATTTATTTATGTTTTAAACGTATACCTTTTTTTTTTAATGCATTGTGCAGATTACTTATAATTAAAATTAGTTTTCATGAAAATATTTATAACATATAACAATATGTATAGGTCGTAGGTACTAAAATTTGTAGAGGCACAAATAATTTAAATTTCGCAATACCCCATAATTATATCCTTGGTATATGCGTTGTAGGTAGGTAACATATTTATTTTATATTTTATATGATCTGTTATCTGTTAATTTTTTTTTTTTTTGATTTCAGGCTAATGATACTTGCATATGGTATGGTGAATGTGAAGAAAATTATGGATTGCATTATAATTGCCCTTATAATGGACCCCCAAAACCGATGACCGACCCAAAGTCTATAGAGGTTCTTAAAACGTGGTGCCCTGATTTCATACAAGATTATTCCAAAGGTAATAGAATGTTTTTAGCTTTTTTTTTTTATATTTAATTTATTATTTGAATTTATTTACTAGAATTGGATTACAATTTTTGCTTTAAAATATGAATCAAATAATATTGTAATTTTACTATATCTCGAATTGTATATTATACCTAACTAAAAAATAATAGCTATTATTATTATAACTACTTATATAGACGTCATAGATTATATTTTTCTAGGTGAAATATTTATATAGGTAATATGGTTGTATATATTGACAACAGTAAAATAACACCTACAAAAAAAAATTGTTCTTACAATAAAAAAAATTAAAACGATTAAAAATATGCGAATAATAAAAAAACCTTGTAACAAATAACTTAAGTTCATATCTACAAGCTAGAAACACAAACCATGAGACTATCTTTATTTGTATTCTGTGTATCATATGTGTGATTAATTTATTAGATACCATCTTTATGCACAGTCAAAAGAAATGAAACTCATTTAAAAATATTTTTATCTAATTAATTATCTGTACTTAAAAGGTATTGATTTGTTTGAAGATTTTCTAGTCAGCTGTATTTTTTATTTAAACAAAATAAAAATATGTAAGAAAAAATTATACTTAAACATTGGTTATATTTAATGCAAATATCTATATACTTCAATGAAATGAGTGAGTATGCAATAAAATAATACAGTATTACTCATTAAGTAATGACCTATTAAATATTCAGGTTAGTTTTAAAATTTTTTTCATAAAACCAGTTACTGTTTAATAATAATGATCAATGAGTAACTATACAGAAGTACTTAATTTAGTATTTCATAATAAATTGAAAGTTTAAAGTAAATTAAAAGACTTATTTTATAAATTTCATTTTCATACTTCGGGTAATATACTTGTAAAAATAAGTATAAATAATTATAGGTTTACTGCTGTATACTATGTAGAATATTGTATTTACACGGGTGCGGGTGGAACATCTTCAGTTGAAGAATATACCTATTGTCCTCGACAAATCGAATCATCATTATACTCGTATACCTCAAACTTGTTTAAAATTAATTTCGTACCGTTAGGAAAAAAATGTATTTTTACTTTATAGATATAATTAAAAGGGTAGTTCGAAAATACAATTAAAATAACACACAGTACACACACACACTATAGCACGCACGCATATTATATAGATACCCTTCAATAAATTCATGTTTATTTCATTTTACATTTAATTCTATAAATATTATGGAATAGGTAAATTAGGTTAAGATTTTATTTTACAAGCAACATTAAATATTATACTTATAATTTTAGGATTTAATATTACTTAATTTGTGTAAGGTATGAATAATAAAATATATATAGTCCGATAAATTAATTCAATAAAATTATGAAGATTATTATAAATTATTTGAATTTGAATAAGGTGTTAAATACTCTTTTAATTATTAAATTTTTTCAAATATTATTGGTTGTATTAGATGATGATCAATAATTAACCATTAACCATTATTGTTTTTATAGTTAATTCTATGAGAATAAGATTTATAAAAGAATATTTTGTAAGCACTTAAGATTTTGAAACAAATTTGAATTTATAGTTCAAAGAACACGCTTATCACTTAATATATGTAATTTATATATGTTCAGTTACTCAGAGAATGAAATAGTTAAATCTTATTACAATAAAATTGTTTTGCATAGCTAAAAAATCGTATAGTTTATTCTTTTTTATCATTATGGAACTTATATTTATATAGTACAGATTTTATTGTACCTAATTATTTAAATTTTAATGTCTAAATGTATTATATATGAAATTTATATTAAGTGCAGGGTATATATAAATCTATATAGGTATATTGAATTTTACAAACTCACTTTTTGTTTACATGACATACCTAAATACTACAATATAAATCTTTTTCATAATTTAAGACTAAAATTTAATACATTTTAATACTTTATATCAAATAAAATTTTATCATTAATATAAATATTGTACAATATGCTTACCAATTAAAAACAATTTTCACTTAATAGTTTATGACCTTTCAATATAGAAAAAGAAATATGATTACTACTGAAAAGTTTATTAAAATCACATAATAATGACGATTCAGTATATTAAAAATGTCAAGTACCTATTTACGTACTTTAACATTAATCATGAAATTAAATATATTTAAATACGCATTTAAGAATTTTAATGTATTTGATTTTGTATAGGTACAATTTTAGCCTTCCCGCAATTTTCTAAAAATACATAAAAATGTTAACTCAATAATATTTATTGGTTAAAGTAGGAATATTTATTGCGATTTCAGACGAATTAAATTAGATATCATGTATTTATTCTTGGAAACATAATTTATTAAAAATGTCGAGTTCGTAAATGTGTTATAAAAATTTATAACATGCATATTAAGGTATTGTATTACTATCTTTTGATGAATTTCTGTTTAAAAGTATCTTATAATGAATTAACTAAATAACTTGTTTAAATGGGATTATATTATAACAATTCATTTAGTAAAATGTCTATAAAATTATTTTGATTATAACTGATTAAATACTTGTTAATTAGTATATAATATATACATTATACATACATATTCAACAAAAGTGCGCGTCACTAAAATTGACATTCTAGCTAATTTATATCATAGGTTTTAAGGACTCCTATAGAGTTTATGTAACACATGTTTGTTTAGCAACAAATCTAGGTATATGTCTATAAAAATTATAGACTTGAGTCCATAAGTTACGCGTAGGAAAAGTATATACTTGAACACTCATATTTGTTGATAACACGTTAAAAACCAAATTTCAATGCCATATTTTAATTTATTTAGAATTTTAGCATATTATATTTAACTTTAATAAAAAATAGAACACTGAACAACTAACGCAAATATTTTTTAACAAAATTAAAGTAAAATATTATTATTTGAAAACTTTTAATTACATTATTAACTATTCTAAATTGGTTCTTTATAGATAATCTTATTAATTCGTTACATTTGTAATTGAACTTAAGTATAAATCAAACGAACAATGTTTTGATAAATAGTAATTAGGATTATTACACAAATCTTAAGATATAGTGAATGATATCTAAATATATTAAATGGCTATTGATTTACAACAAATATTAACACTGATTTAATTTGAGTACCTAGCTATCCTATAGTATAGACTAAAATTTATCGTTTTTGATGATTTATCTATGTACTCGGATAGTCTATATTACGCAGTTAAACGTTATATCTTAGAACAAATGCCATTTTAAAACGTATCTGTCTATATTTTTCTTATTTTAAAATTAATTTACTTAATTTGAAATTATTTTTAATCATGTTTTAAAAATCATTTCTTTTAATTGATATACTTATTTTTAATAAAAACGTGATTTAGTTTTAATATAGTGATTTATTTATTAGAGGATGGGCCTAAAATTGAAGATAAAAACTTTTAAATTGTGTATTTTACCTACCATTATAAAATATAACATATTTTAAAATGACATAGCATACAGAAAATTTTTTTATCATGAATAATTTATTATTTTAAGATTTTTTTATCATGAATCATTTATTATTTTAAGATTTTTTAAGGCAATTATTTTTTTAAGTTTCTTACTTTTTTGAATGACAGCAAACATTTTTAATTTTTTTAATTCCATATTCTGAAGAAGAATATTATTTGGAATATTTTTATGCAAAAAAATTTAAATTTTGGACGACTTGTTAACGAGTTATAACTTATAACCTTTTAAAGTTTAAGCGAGTGGATTTGAGTGGTATGGGAATATTACATACAATATTAATCGACTATTCTGATCATCGAAACTTTGATGACTAATAATTCATAAATTACCTATTCGAATTTTATTTTTTATGTATCGCAATACTCCGAAAAATGTTATTCTTTATAATATGAAATTAAAAATGTATGTTTTCATTCGCAAAAGTAAAGAACATAAAACATTATAACAATAAAAATATATTTCTTTTTCAAAAATGTTGTTTTATTTTGACTAGAAATAATGTAAGAAATATATTATTTTAAATTTTAATTGATTTTGAAATAATACGTGTTTTTCAATAAAAGAATTATCCACTTTAGTTATTAGTTAAATATATTGATACAAAGTATATTTTTTAACTCAAATTATTAGATTTATACATAAAATTACAAAATGTATATACCTAGGTAGTTAATTCTTAATTAAATTCTTTATTGACTATATAGTAATAAAAATTAAAAGTTGCATAGTTATAAAATTAAAAATATTTTATGATTAACCTTAATAAATCTCATTATAGTTACTTTATTTTTCAAAATAAATCACGTACTACAATTGAACGAATGTTTTCTAATTTATTACTCTTATCATTTTTTTATTTTATGTTCATACTGGCGTATATAACTTAAAAAATGGAATGACTACTTCTCTAAAAATATTAATTGAATATAATTTTCAATCTATATAAGCAGATCTAAAATTTCTAAGTGAAACTTTCTAATTCCTAATAACAACTCTTCCTAAGGAATAAAATACTTTAAAATTTTTAAATTTATGATAACTCACTTGTTATAGTGATGTATTGAAATAATTTTTCAAGTATATTGGATAATTTTATTTTCATCGTGGTTTGGAATATATAACCACAGTGTGCTTTTTAATATTAAATTCAATAATTACCAAATTTAAATATAAAAGTAATATTTAAGTGCCCCGTAAGCTTTTTTTTTATACTTCAGTTTTGAAGCAAGTTGTGATGATTTTAAAATTTAAAAAAAGAAAAAGAAAAAATTCAAAGGAAATATAATAATAATATCATAATATATTTATCTTGAGTTGTAATTAATAAATATTAATATATCTTATTTTTTTTATTTTTTGGTTTTTAAAGGGTTTTTAGACCAATTATTACTGTAAAAAAATTTATCGCCTTAATTTCTCTGTCAAAATATTCCTGCACTTCTAACTAGCATTTTGTAATATTTTATTTTTGTTCTTATTCTTGATTTTAATAGTGGCATATATATTATATATATTCATTTTTAATTTGATTTAATTATGTATACTTACCAGTGGTGTGGCTATAATTTTTTTTTTTTAATTAATTAATTTATTTGATATTAATACTACAATTATTAAATCGTTATTAGTTTAAACTCATTAAACATATTATATTTTTAATCACAATTTATTTTGTTTTGTTTTATTAGATGGACAAACTCTTAATACGTGTTGCGGAGTCGATCAGCTTTTAACATTAAGCACAAATATTGTACAGGCTGCAAATTTCTTACATAGATGTCCGTCATGTATGAGAACGTTTGGAAGATTTATCTGTGAATTGGTTTGTTCACCAACGCAGAGCCGATTTATGAACGTCACCAAATTGACGAAAACAGGTTAGTGCAATTTTAAGACAATTATAACTTGCTTAGGTAAGTACTATGACATTTTACAAGAATTCATGAATCGTATAGTTGTTGAATATAATTTTCATTGAATCTTGGAGATAGCGAGATTTGTCGTTGACCGTTGTTATGAACAACAATTGCGCCATTACTGTTTCACAATACCACACATAACATTAATATTGTATCTAGGTAATTCAATAAAAGAATTGGATTTTTACATTTCCGATTCGTATATGCAAGGTGTTTATGATTCGTGTAAATCTGTGACAAACCCGGCTACTGGTGGATTAGCAATGGATCTATTATGTTCAGGTGCATTACACTGTTCTGCACATAAGTAAGTGTGAATATTCAATTAAATTGTACTAATTTTGGATAAGTCAGCTTATAGCATAAACCTCATACCTACTTAGAAATGTTTTTTTGAATGCAATGAATATTGATTTTATAAATTCCTGCTTAGTGAGAATTATATGTACTTAGTACGTTTCATATTACTTTTTTAAGGTGGTTTCGGTACTTGGGAAAAAATCCATATCTAAGTTTCGTCATAAATTACATACCAGTTGTAAAAACTGATAATCGTCAACATTTTGTAGGCCCAGTAATACCGTGTAATCAATCGGTTGATGTGAGTAATATATAATTATTATTTTCAATAACATGCTATTAACATTTAAACTTTCAGAATAAAACTACTGCTTGTAGTTGCATGGACTGTGATGAAAGTTGTCCATTGCCAGATAAAATACAAGAATCTCAAAAATTACTCAATGTAGCAGGTATTGAAACTGTAACTATATCATCGGCAATTTTATTTTGTTTTCTTATGTCGACATTTACAGGATTCGTGTGTTTTAAAGGTAATTTTATGATTTAACATTTAACCATATTTTAATCATATTATATGAACTAATTATTATATTTAAATAATCCTAATGCTATATTTTATAGTTATAACTTATAAAATAACCTAATAAAGTAATAATAGATAGGATTATTTTTAATATAATTTTATATTTATTTATAAACTTTATTATGTTTTAGATGTATTAATGAACGGAAGGAAGAAAAAAAACGATAAACATAAATATATAGTTGCTGAACATATTAAAGCAAAACATAAAAATATGCTGGAAACCGTTTTTTATAAAATTGGAAAATGTAAGTAAAAATGAACATTAGCGCATTTATGGTTACAATTTATTTACTTTAGTAACATTTTAAGTTATATTTAAAGTTAGTTTTTTAATGTTTGAATTTATTATAACTTATTATATCAATAGATTCCGCGAGTAGATCACATATTTCATTTATGGTGTCAGTATGTCTAATTATCATATTAAGTTATGGTATTTACTGCATAAAGATCACAATCGATCCAGTAGACTTATGGTCATCTTCAAACAGTCAATGTTGGCAAGAGCGTGAATATTTCAATACAAACTTTAAGCCATTTTTTCGAACCACCCAAGTCATTATCGCGCCAAACGGCGTTCAAGATGTAAATTTATTGCAAAAATCGATTAATCAATTTTAAACAAACAAGTATGTTTAATATTTTAGGTGCTCTATAATTCCTCTGAAGGAACGTATACGTTTGGACCAGTGTTCAACCGTACTTTTTTGCTGGAAGTGCTAAAGTTACAAAAGCAAATTGAAGGCGTAAGTTATTGAAATGATGTTAACATAAAATACTATAATGAACACATTTAACACACATTATTATAATTTATATTTTTCACAAACAGTTGCAGAGCAGTCCAAATAACGGGCTAGAAAAAGTGTGTTTCGCACCACTTGTATCTAAATTCAATGGTCCACCCAAAGTTTCGGATTGCGTTGTTCAAAGTGTTTGGGGCTATTTTAGTAACAAACCTTATCATATTAACCGAACTAACAATGACGGTTACTTTGATACATTAAAAATATGTTTTCAGTAAGTAGAATATTAATAAAATATTTAAGTCTTTAAATAATAATTTTATTTTTTTTTTTTTTTTGTTAATATGTTTTATAATATGCGTATAGATTTATCTATAACCAAAAAAAATTATTTAATTTATGATATAACATTTTTATACACTTAATTATTTTAGGTATGTATAAAAATTAAATACCAAATTTATCTCATATAATATTTATTATTTACCCTTTTTAAGGAATTTTTCTCTAATAGTCCTATATAATTCCATAATTCCAATTTCATTCAATTCCCACTATTAATGCATGTATTTAAATAACTGACTTACGTGGGATCATTAAATCTAAGTGAAGCATCTATAGCTTCACCAAAGACATAAGTATCTCTAAATTCGTATAATTATAAAATTTAAAGGTCAGTTTAAAAAAAAAAAAAATTAATTCTTTATATTTTTAGATGATTTTTCGTATAGACACAATTAGTGTTTGCGATTTGAAGAGAGATCTAAGCTCTAGTCCACATCCGGATTTTTATAAATCTTTTCTAATATTTAAAAAACTCCTAAAAAAATATTTTGAATGTTTAAAATTTTTAGGTTTTTTTCAAGAAATAGAATATTAAAAATATGGAGTGCATCAAAACCTAAAAATTTATAGAAAATCCAATCTTTTTAATCAATAACAATTCACTAAACGAGAGACGTAACTTCTTACATTTCAAATCACGCTTTATATTTTACATTCAGATTTATATTATATGTTAAGATAAAAGTACGAATACCGATATGTCCGAATTTCACTCATTTACTGATCGATTTTGGTAAATCTTAGGATAAACAACTAACGTTGTTAAAAGTTCGAAATGTTTTACCAATTATGTGTTAAAATACAATCAGAAAAAAAGTACACGTCATCCCTCAAATAGTTCCATCGTTTAAATATGTTTTCAATAATTAATCAAATTATCTAAACTCCTGTACTAAAAAAAAAAAAAAAACTACACAGATAATAATCCCACTTAGACGTTAAACCAGTTTAAAAAAGTGTCTCTGCTGATCTAAAGAACTTTTTTTATATAATTTCAATTTCCTAGTTAAACTGTAACAATAATTGTTCGTACATACGCTTATTGTGAAACATCATAATTTACATTTTATTATGAGATAGTTTTCATTAAAAATTTCAGCCATCATTAATAGTTAAATTACTTATTGAACGAATTATTCATTGATTAAAAATAAACATAATTGTCATTATATTTACAGGAATCCGTATAATCCATCTTGTTTAGCACCTTATGGGGGACCAGTTGATCCGTCTATTGCTCTGGGAGGTTTTTCAAATTCCAGTGATCCAATAACCAAATTATCTCCTTATGAAAAAGCGACATCGTTGATTTTAACATTTGTACTCAACAACCACAATAGCAAATCGATGTTGAAAGATGCACTTGAGTGGGAAAAAAAGTAAAGTGATTTATTATTAGGTTGTATACTTTTCACGATTTGTGTGTAAAGCGTGCGTATTTAATAGGTTTTTGGAGTTTATGAAGAACTGGACAAGAGTGAAACCATCTATCATGGATGTAGCTTATTATTCAGAACGTTCAGTGGAAGATGAGTTGGACAGAGAATCTCATTCAGATGTATCTACAATAGCCATGAGTTATTTAGTCATGTTCTTGTACATAGTTTTTACTCTCGGATGGAATAAAATCATATTAAGTTTTTTCGGAATAGTATTCGTTGTATTATCTGTCGTCTTTTCGGTCGGTTTTTACGGTCTAATTGGTGTACCACTGTCATTGATCGTACTAGAGGTAATATACACTATATAATGATTATCGCTTAGTTATTCGCGTCTTTATTAATTGCTGTTTTAAAAAATATTTAAATTTCTTAAAAAAATCTTATTGTGTTCGTTTTATCAGGTCATACCTTTTATTGTACTTGCTGTTGGAGTTGACAATATATTCTTAATCATTCGAACATATCAACATACAGATTTAAAAGAAGACGAACTGATTCCCGATTACATTGGTCGTGTTTTAAGTAAAATCGGGCCATCGATTTTCATCACTACTCTTGCAGAAATCACATGTTTTTTTATCGGCAGCTTGTCAGATATGCCTGTTGTTAGATCTTTTGCATTATATGCCGCGATGGCTTTAGTGTTCAATTTTTTGTTACAGATGTCTTGTTTTATTGGATTATTAGCATTAGATGCTAAACTAGTAAGTACCTACTTAGCTTACGTACCTTTATTATTGATTAATGATCGAATATTTTTCCACTTTGTGTACCTACTGATACATGTTTATTATTTTATGGATTCAGAAAACAGTTAAACAAGAAATTCAAAAACAAAGTTTAGTGTTTATCATATTTCAAAAATTCTACGTTCCAACTTTAATGAATAAATGTGTTAGACCAATGATTGTATTATTATTTAGTGCTTGGCTTTGTACAAGCATTGTGGTTATAACGAAAATTGACGTGGGTCTAGATGTTGAACTAACTATGACCGATGATTCGTATGTGCTAAAATATTTCAAAGTAAAGTACCCACCAATATTAATTACTATGAAGTAATTTAACTAAATATTTATTGTTTGTAAAAGTTTATGAAACGTTACTTATCGACTGGACCTCCTGTTTATTTTGTGGTTACCGACGGGTTGAATTTGACTGATGTCAACAATCAAAACCTTCTCTGCGGTGGTATTCATTGCGACCCGTATTCAGTCACTAATCAAATTTACAGAGCTTCAAAAATGGCAAACTTGTAAATTATTTACGCAATTATTTTATCGAATATTGTCTAATAAAAATTTTATTAATTTTTAGAACATATATAAATAGACCTTCAACATCATGGATTGACGATTATTTCGATTGGGCTAATCTTTCGAGTTGCTGCAAAGTTACTCAAAACAATAGTTTTTGTCCGCACAACAGTGTTGATACACTTGACTGCGATACCTGTAATATCACTAAAAATGATTTGGATCGACCGAATGTTCAACATTTTTCAAAGTTTTTACCATACTTCCTCCAAGATAGTCCAGATAAAGATTGTTCAAAAGCCGGTCATGCTGCTTATAGTGATGTAATTATATAAACAATACGCTAATATCTAATTATTAGTTCATTTTTAAATTCATTAATCATGCTAATACATTTATTTAACACACATGTTAGGCTATTTCTTTGAAAAATAATTCAACAGGACCTAATTATTTTATGACTTTTCACACTGTATTAAAAACATCCAAAGATTATTATGAATCAATGCGTTCTGCTAGATCAATAGCAAATAATATGACTAATACAATTAAAAAAAAAAATCCAAACACAACAACTACTGTATTTCCATATAGGTGAGTTTTGACTAATCAACATTTATTATTTTAATTCCTACCTATTAATTTGTTATTATATTTGCAGTGTTTTTTATGTATTCTATGAACAATACTTAACCATATGGCAGGTATGCGTCCAGCATTTAGTTTTATCATTAGTAATGGTAACATTTGTAACATGGACGTTTACTAATTTTAAAAAATCTTCAGCTTTTATTCTACTAATAATCAATACAATGATAACAGTTGACTTATTAGCATTTATGTACTATTTTGATATTTCTCTTAATGCAATATCATTGGTAAACATTGTAATGGTAAGTCGTATAGCAGCTTAAACATACCTAGGTACCTTATCTGATTTAATAGGTATATTTTAAAATTATATCTATATTGTTTAGTCAATTGGAATAATGGTTGAATTTTGTGGCCATATAATTTTTCATAACGCAAAATCAGTTATCTCTTGTCCAATTCAACGTGCTACTCATTCTTGTGTAGAAGTCGGGAGTTCGGTAAATATATGAATTATAAATCATAGGCATAACAAATTATGTATAGATCTAACACACATTACTTACTATATGTATAATATACATACCTAGGTACATTTATGTGTATGAACTATTCTTATGTATATTGAATGAGTAAAATGTGTCACATTGAACACAAGAATGCTGAATTTATGGTGTTTATTGTCAATTAATATAGTATGTATAGATTATAAATACATATTATTAATTAACAGGTGTTTTCTGGAATTACTTTAACAAAATTTGCTGGTCTTGCTGTACTTGGTTTTGCTAATACTCCAGTGTTTAAGATATTTTACTACAAAATGTATATGGGTATTGTGATTATTGCTGCCTTGCATAGCTTAGTGTTCCTGCCAGTTTTATTAAGTTACAAAGGTATTCTAAACTAATTATTTATATTTTTTTAATAAACTGTACTTATTTAAATGTAATTTAATGTTATAGGTACACATTATGTTCTAGTAGAAAAGACTGATAGTTCTAAGAAAAAAACTAGAAGTTATAAATTGCAACTATTAAAAGTGAATCGTGAATGTGCTCTGATGAAAGAATGATACTATAATCACTTATTTATTTTTAAGTACCTAGTTTAAAATCACTACTACTTTTATTTTTTCTTATTTTTTGATACAACCAAATTTTTTTTATTTAGTTGCCTTTTATTGTTAATGAAAATTTGTGTTGAATATTTATTATGTTTTTACAGATAATCAAAACATTTTAATTAACTGATGAAAAAAAAAAAAAAAACAATTCTGTGATAAATTTTTATAACTTTTTATTTTAGGATAATGCAATTCTAGGACTTGAATTGTTGACTGTGTTATAAATTAATATATTACGCTTATGATTATTATTTACAATTTTATTTAATTTGTTTTTAAATATAAAATTTTTAGTTTGCTTATTATTTAAAAAAAAAAAAACAATAATATATAAATATTAATAATTAATTTAAATAATTAAATAAATGATTATTGAATCATATAATCTATTTAGTTTTAATTATGGTTATCTACAACTTAAAAATAACTTAACTTTAGAGTCGTTTCAATATACAGTAGATTCTCGTTATGTCGAATCTCAAGGGGAACAGAAAAAAGTTCGAGATATCGAAAACTTCGAAATATCGAGTTTTATTAAAAAATAAAAAACTAATATGTATGTATAAATGTATGTTGTATAATGTATATGAATAATAAATAATACGAATGACTAAAATAGACTAAAATTTGAATAATTAAAATACTGAAATGACTGAATAAATTATTTTTTTTTAAAAAAATCTGTCATTAAGGTTTGCTTCATATTACTTCTTTCTGCCACGACGTCTTCCAAATTATTTAATGCAGAAAAAGCCTTATCATCCATACCTGTAGTAGTCTCAACAAAATTCCTTAGTGTTTTTAAAGCATCTTTAGCTTGTTGAATTGTTACTTGGGTAAAAATGACTTCCTCCTCATTTTGTGGTTCGTCTTCACTCTCGCTGGTATTTTCTATGGTTTCTGATAAAATTCCTTTAAAACACCTAGGCTTCTTTGCTTTACCAATGACAAATAATTTTAGTTTTTCAGTTCCAGACATATTTGATCCTATCATAATTGTAATGCGCTCTTTACCGTATTTTCCACCTGAACATTCTTTACCTTTTAACATTAATGTTTTATCTGGTAAGCATTTGAAAAATAACCCCGTTTCATCGACATTAAAAATATCATTAGAAAAATAACCTGCTAAGACATCAGGAAGATTTTTAATCCAATTTGAACAACAATGTGCGTCTACTGAAGCTTTTTCTCCACAAACAGTTCGAAAAACTACATCGTGTCTTTTTTTCCAATTTGTAAGCCATCCACTACTAGCTTTAAAATTAGTGTGTCCTAGTTGTTGTGCATATTCGTTTGCTTTTTCAAGTAAAATTGTTCCATTTAATGGTATGTTTTTATCTCGACACTGAGTAAACCATTTTAGCAAACATTTATCAATGTCTAAATAAGGAGTCATCCTCATTTTTTTCATATTTCTACAATTGAACTTCATTATTTTCTCTTTCTGTTTAATAATTGACGATAATGTATTTGGTGGAATATTGAATTCTTTGGCGATTTTACATTTTTTACGGTCACCTTTTTCAACTAACTGTATTAAACGAACTTTGTCCGAAATTGAAAGAACATTTAATTTACGCTTCTTTTCCATTCCACTACAAACGAACAAACGAACTACGAAAGACTATAAACGTGACTACCAACGCGCTAAATCACAATCGCTATACTGCACTGCCTGCACGGCTGCACAATTCCTATGTTAACCGTAACAAAAATATTATTTGTGAACTCGAGATACGAAAAACGATTAATTTTATATCGAATTATCGAGAGCAAAACATTATTAAGTGTAATAGTAGTTTCAAGGGGAATTCAAAGTAGTTCGAGATAACGAAAAATTTGTTGTGCTTCGTTCAGTTACATTGTGCTGAAACAACTAACAGTAAAATTGATAGTTAAAAATATTCTTCAAACTATGACCAATTTTAATTTATAATAAAAACAAAACAAGACCAATTAAATTTTACACAAATTCACAGTTTGTAATATATTTCAAGTGTACATATAAAGTATTATATTTTCTAGGTAAATGGTTATGTCTTATTAATATAATTTAAAACCCACAATTAAGAAAAATATTAGGAACAAGCTGTCATATTAAGTATTTTACATATTTTATAACTCAATATTCTAATCCCCTTTCAAAGTACAAAAATAAATAATAATAAATAAAAATATATGCTAACCTAATAATAAATATAAATAGATATACTTTTATGACATTTATATAAATAATAAACTTTCCCAAATTACTTAAGTATATACCATTTATCAATATAATATTTAAATTTTAAACAGCCAAATAATTTATTATAGGACATAAAATATTTGATAACTTAGATCAGATTATTATGAGTTTATCGTCTTAACTATTTTTTGTTATAATAATATTTAATATATTTATAGGAATATAAATGTTTATAATAAAGTAATAATACTAACTAATTACAGATTCTTAATATTATGTCGAACGTCGCTATCTCCGAA